GCTGAAGTACCTTTTCCTTGTTACCTAACTAATATTTCCTGAGCCGGTGAGATTTGAACAGCCGAACTGCAGAACTGCAGTCAGCTGAAGTACCCTGCACTGCTGCATTTTAGTGAAAAAAGAGGGGTGATTGGAAACAATAATACCCATATACTTATGTATGCAAATGAAGCCATGCTGTTGACTAAGAGCTCAACTGATTTTCAGGAAATATTAGTTAGGTAACAAGGAAAAGGTACTATAGTTTCCCCGATTAATTAATAAAATACTAAAGTACTTGTGCTTGATGGAAAAAAGTGGAGTGAATTATTGCACGTAACACATGAAAGGTATTCGTCTAGGACAGCGGTTCCCAATATGAGGCCCAAGCCCCACAGGGGGGCAATTTGATTTTTAATGGGGGCAATTTGAACCTTGTTTAAACCAAGTAAGAGTAAGTAAATGACTTTATATCCTTTGGTGGAATGTTTTCAAAATTGGGGAAATGAAGACAGATATTTTAAGTTGTGTTAAGTATTGGCTGAAAAATAATTTAAGGTGTGGAAGAATGTTTGTTGAAAGAAACAAAATTCTTCTACCTAAGTTGTTATATGGAAGTGAGGGTTGTGCAAGTAAGGATAAATTTAAAAAGTAAGCTGAATGGGCAGGAGCTATTTGGGGGTGCTGGATGACTGTGACTTTAATACAAAAGAGCATGAGCAGTATAGAAGAATTAGAAAGAGATGGTTTGGTCACCCACAGAAAATGAGAGGCAGGGACTGAGTTGCAAAACAAATAGGTGAAGAGAAAGTGAATGGGTTAAGGAAAAGAGAGCAATTAAGAACATTGTGGTTGGAATTGATAAGATTCTCAGGAACAGGGGAGAAGTTTAAACAAGCAGTGAATGTAGTAGAAACAAAGTGAGTACAGAGAATTCTGTTGCTATTAATTAAATGTAATTATATTTCTTTTTTTCTCCTTCCTTGTGTCTTTGTTCCTTATGCTTACTATTTCTCATTCCTTTTCTGCACTTTGAACAATGTTCCTTGTCCCAAATACTGTGATGTGCATGTACAGTATGTATCATTTTATGCTACTATTCCCAACTACAAGAAGCTGGGGGCTGGGAAATAGGACAGGAAAAAGTATTTGGCATTATCTAAGCATGAACAATCAACAGAAACAAGGTTTGTTGCTGTAAATCACAGATTGTGAATTTAAGAAACTGCCACAAAGAATTCAGATGCCTGTGCTGATAAGGTTGCTTGTGAAATCTATTCAACATTTGTAGGCTGGAAGGGCACAAGAGTTTCAGCAACCAGCAGAACAGCCTGCCTCCAAGTCCCTTAGAAATCCAGTAATGCTCATTGAAATGCAGAAGTTCCAATTAGGGTTGATTGTCCAAAGAAAACAGCATTTCTGGAACAAAGTGGGACAGCACAGAACTCAAATGCCAGCTCTGTGTAGAAACCCTTTACCGATGGAGTTAAGGCAATATAAGGAATTTGAGGTTCAATGAATCAGGCATCAGACTGAGGGGACATCCAATATATCAGACTCAACTGAAATATCAACATCTCATCTTACTTTTAAAAAATTGCACTCTCGTTGTGATCTTTTATTGATGACATTTTAGATCTCTGTGTAGTTTGAAAAATGAGGGTTCAGTCCCTGAAGAACTGCTTTAAAAAAATTTTTTTTGCCGCTTGTAACTAATGTATTATTCATCTGGAATTTGAAATGTTTGAAAACATTTCAGTACATAAACTTTCTAATGGGGAAGAAAATGTAGCTATCTTCTTCCAATAACTTCCTTCCAATTTGTGAAAGACTTATCATTTATGGCACCATTTCAGTTATGATTCATTTGTTTATTCATATTTTACTTAGAACCCCTGAGGGATGGCTACTTTTGTTTTATAGATTGTTCTTTCAAACAACTTAATCTCTTTCCCTTCAGATGTTCCCACCAGTCTTCTAATGAACAAATCCATTTGTTATGTTTTAGCCAATATAACCATTTCATTTTTAAATGGTTATGGTTGCAGGAAGATGAATTTTTATTACATTTCTCTCTAGTCCAGAATCTTAAGAAATCTCTTGCTGAATTTTAACAGATTATCCAATTGGAAGAGAGGGGAAGAAGGGAAGGAATTTGGTATCAAAGACTTTGCCACCAAAAAACTAGACGTTTTTGTTCCATTAGCTTGCTTTTAAGAAAGCTTCCTTCATAACTGAAGTCAGCATATTTTTAGAGATCTCTTATTTTTAAAACATGCTTTCAAAAACAAGACCAAAGCATTTTTTTAAAAAAATCAATACAGACAGAAGAAACACAGTCAAGAAAACACCGTCCACTCTTTCCCTGTTCTAGACACAGGATGTGACTCTGATTCAAAATGGCTGGTATTTAACACAGCCCCAGTTTGTTTCAGAATCTTGTCAAAAGTTCGAGATTACTGCCTGATATGTCATTCATTTACCTGAGTGAGAATTTTAAATGATTTTAATGATCCCTCAATTCAGTCTCGCTTGAGAAGGAGGAAAACTATTAAAGGCTGGCTCTTTATCAGGTTTTTAAGTTCTACTAAATCACTAACAGGGGTATTTCTTATTGCAAGTTTTTATCTGAGAAACATAAGGACTGAAGGAACAAACAATACGCTTTTTCTAATGCGCTGCAATTAAACAGTCAACTCCGCTCTGTTTCTGGCAAACCACTCATTGAGATGTCCTGACAGTCTCAAATGATTACATAACACATACCAAAAAAAGGGGGTTATAAGAAAAACCATTTTATAATTAAGAGGGAGGTGTTTGAACATGTTAATCAGTAGCTCCTTTGTGGAAGTGGCTGAACCAGGCTGATCTGTGAGTTTTTAACTCAACTGAGGAGGAAAGGGAGGGGATGACTACATTCAGTAGGTAAGACACGCATGCATTAGTTCATGTGACAGCTTCAGCAGGTGTCATTAGTACATGCCAACACTAAAAACCACACGAGCAGGGCTTATTTCCATGGTAGCAGTAAAACCTGCATAACATACCCCCTGAGACACTGCCCTCAGCCCTTCCCCCCAGCAAGGGAGGAAGAGCTATTGGCTGAAGACTTCTTCAGTTCTATTTTCATAGACTGAGTCTCGGCACGAGGCTCGAATTTGGTCTGATTTCCTGATCCAGGGGTCGGCACAATTGGCTTCCCAGCTTTCATACCTTTAGATACAGGGATTCGGGTCGGTGTAGGTCTCTGGGATGACCCATCCTGTCCTGTCTGCAAGACAAAAAGGGAGGAAGGGGAAAGAGGGGGAAAGCCACAACATTAGTTATATGTGTGTAATTTGTGCATAATTTAGGCTGTGCCTAAATCAACCGTCAGCTTCTATGTGTTAGAATATTCATGATTGGGAGAGACATGGTAACAAGGTCAGCCAATAAATAGGCATAGCAACTAAGTCAGCCAATGAGAGCTTAAACAGATTTGANTGTGCCACCATGGTTCATCAACAGGGTGAGGAGAACGTTAGGGAAAAATGAAGAACCACACATGTCTGTCTTTGGTGTGTACATATTACTTGTGCTTAATACAATCAGTATTGCGTGGGCTTCACATTTATTCTTTGGGTTTTTATCCCATCCACACATAGGAAGCTAAAAAGGGACATGATGATTAAGACCCTCTAAATATAGGCAGTGTGTGTAAGGTATTTGATAATGTCCCAAACAATTAGTATTCAAATAAATATTTGAATACATAAATATATAAAGAGTGAATGCTTTTGTTTTCAGCATTTTTTAGGGGTGTGAATCTAAGACCTAGCTTCTTTTCAAAGAATGAAACATTACCTATCTTGGTTGGCCTTGAAAGCAAATTATAATAAAATATTTAAGATAGCTCTGTGCTTTAATTTGGGCCAAAACGTAGCGCAGGAGCAAGGAGGTTTGCTTATCTTCAGTTGAACACATCCTAAGCCCATGGAGCTTCAGAAGTATTAAAATGACTTGGGGAGGGCGGAGAGATGGAGTGAAAGAATACTGGATTAGGTCCTATCAAATAACCTGCAATCAGATCACCTTCAGTTGTCCTAAGTGCAGCTTCACAGATGAGTAGCATATTCAAGAAGGAGGGTGGTAAAATGACAGAAAGTGAGGTCTGTTTCCTTTTTTTTTACTTACAGTCATGCTGGAATGATCAAGGCAGGGTATGGTAGGTCTCATTCAAAATTGCCCCCCTAAGGAATACTGGGAGTTTTTGTAATATTGCCTGAGCAAACTGCCTGAGGGGTGGGGGAGAAACAATAAGAACAAAACAAAAAGACAGAATGAGTTGGCTATGATGAACAAGTTGCACTAAACTCAGTCAATGGATTGTGGTCCAGTTTGGAAGATAATTTTGCTGTTGTCTGAAAAGACAGCAAAGAGAACATCCAAGTGTCGGATTTGGGAGAAGAATGTCACTCTTTCTCTCCTCCTGCAAACATTCCATTCCTCTCTAGGAATATGAAGCTAGGAGGTCTGTATACTCTATGGTGAAGGTAGCAGATTTTGAGCAAGTCTCTTTTTTGAGCATCTTCATATAATGTTGTCCTAGAGAAACTCCAGGTACAGGAGGAGGAGCAGGAGGCTGGCTCTCTGACCACTTTCTCAGTGAAATAACAGGATTGAGCTATGTCTAGAATCTGACCAGGAAACTATTTTTTGTCCAGCTCTAATTTAAAACTTCAACTTTAGCAATAGGTAGCAAATAATAGCACTAGCCGCTTTCAGGAGGCAGAAACTCTCTTTGTAAATGCTATTTGATGAAGAAGTTAAAAATAAAACATTTATGTACTTTAAAATATATGTTTTAGTTCTGAGACTTCACCAATAGGTAAGAAAAAAAGGATCCCTTTTCCTTAAGGCTTTCCAATTTGGGTTTATTTATCTTATTTTTGCTTAGGCAGCATATATGTGTGCATGATTGCTTCAGACTGAGCTGTTATGATCTAGTAAAATGACTGGATAAAACACATTAGACAAAATATTAATTGGTAGAGATTTTAAACTGACAACAAAGATACTTATAGAATCCCCGGTGTTAACATACGCCTGTGAAAGATCATCAGAAAGAAAAAAAATATGCCTTGAAGTGCAGTGTTGAAAAAAAATAACTGAAAATTGCTTGGACCACAAGACTAACAAATTATTC